ATTTGCTGCTGCTGCTGCAGCACGTGTTTTGCTGCTGCAGCAGCTCAGCAGCAGGCACAGAATGGAAGCCAAAATGCCCTCCATAGCTCCAAATATAATAGTTATAAAGAAGCAAACCACCCACAGCAGCACGTCAAGACCACCTGCAGCAGCAACCGTAAACGACGTCGTCGTTTCGTAAACGACGACGACGACGTCGTGCACAAAACGACGAGCAGCAGCTCAGCAGCAGGCACAGAATGGAAGCCAAAATGCCCTCCATGGCTCCAAATATAATAGTTATAAAGAAGCAAACCACCCACAGCAGCACGTCAAGACCACCTGCAGCAGCAACGCATTTGCCGCAGCAGCAAAGCATTTCGACGACGACGACGTCGTGCACAAAACGACGAGCAGCAGCTCAGCAGCAGGCACAGAATGGAAGCCAAAATGCCCTCCATGGCTCCAAATATAATAGTTATAAAGAAGCAAACCACCCACAGCAGCACGTCCAGGCCACCTGCAGCAAAACATTTGCTGCAGCAGCAAAACATCTGCTGCTGCTGCTGCTGCAGCACGTGTTTTGCTGCTGCAGCAGCTCAGCAGCAGGCACAGAATGGAAGCCAAAATGCCTTCCATGGCCCCAAATATAATTGTTATAAAGAAACATACTACCCACAGCAGCACGTGTTTTGCTGCTGCAGCAGCTCAGCAGCAGGCAGTTGAGAAAGAATAAACCAGAACCCAAATATTATTGTTATGCAGAAGCAAACCACCCACAGCAGCACGTCCAGACCACCTGCAGCAGCAAAACATTTGCTGCAGCAGCAAGGCATTTGCTGCTGCTGCTGCTGCTGCTGCTGCTGCAGCACGTGTTTTGCTGCTGCAGCAGGCCAGCATCAAGTAGTTAAGAAACAATAAAAACCCAAAGATGATTGTTATGCAGAAGCAAAGCACCCACAGCAGCACGTCCAAAGCACTTGCAGCAGCACAGCGTTCGCTGCAGCAGCAACGCATTTGCTGCTGCTGCTGCTGCAGCACGTGTTTTGCTGCTGCAGCAGCTCGACAGCAGCTCTCCGTGGAAAGTTGGGAAGCAGTTTCAAATTAATCCAAAATTAGAAAACCAAACCAAATAAGCCAAAACCAGAAGCACTTGCAGCAGCAGCAAACCACCTGCTGCTGCAGCAACAGCAGCCCAAACCCCAAACCCCAAACCCCAAACCCCAAACCCCAAACCCCAAAGCCCAAACCCCAAACCCTAAACCCTAAACCCTAAACCCTAAACCCTAAACCCTAAACCCTAAACCCTAGGCCGGACCGATTTTTGCGAGGGTGAAGAACTCGCTGAAGTCGAGCATGCCGTAGACGCCGAAGAGCACGACAGCAGCAAGAACAGCAGCAGGAAGCTGCTGCAGCAAAGGAGTCATGAAGGAAAGAGTGAACAGCAGCACGAGAGAGTTCGAAAGCTGATGCAGCTGCGTAAACCCTGCTGCTGCTGCTACCACGCTGCTGCGCGACAGCGAAGTTGCGTTGGGGAAGCACTGCAGCAAACAGCCCGCCAAGTTGCACATGCTCAACGCCACCAACTCCTGGTCCGGACGGATCCTGTACGTCTGCAGCAGCAGCAGCAGCAGCAGCAGCAGCAGCGGCAGCAGCAGCGGCAGCAGCAGCGGCAGCGGTACGCTCATTGTTTTCGTCATCGTAGCAGCAGCAGCAGCAGCAGCGGCACAATCATGATTACCGTCATCGTTAGCAGCAGCAGCAGCAGCAGCAGCACAGTCATTATTGCGATCATCATTAGCAGCAACAGCAGCAGCAGCAGCAGCAGCAGCAGCAGCACAGTCATTACTACGATCATCGTTAGCAGCAGCAGCAGCAGCAGCATCGCATCAGCAGCAGCAGCATGGGCATCCGCCGAGAAGGCGCGCGCGGTTTGCCTTCGCTGCCCCCGCTGCTGCCGCTGCTGCTGCTGCTGCTGCCGCTGCTGCTGCTGCTGCTGCTGCTGCTGCTGCTGCTGCTGCTGCTGCTTACCCCTTTTTGCTGCGCAATGGTTTTAACAATTGAAATGTGAATTACGAAAAACATCGCCGTCAAAGCCAAAGCCTCCCGCAGCAGCAGCACGCAGACATTTCGCTGCTGCACTACAGTTTCCCCCCCGTCCGCTGCAGCAGCAAATAAAACATTTAATTTAATTTAATTTAATTATTTATTTTATTTAATTATTTATTTTATTTAATTATTTATTTTATTGGTTTAATGTTTAATTTAATTGTTTAATTTCGTTTTTTGATTTCATTATTTTGTTCAATTGTTTAATTTCATTATTTTGTTTAGTTGTTTAGTTTGATTGTTTAATTCAATTGTTTAATTTCATTATTTAATTTTTTAATTTTTTAATTTTTAATTTAATTAAGTTTTTAATCGTTTATTTTAATTGTTTAATTTCATCGTTCAATTATTTTATACACTTATTTAATTCTTTAATTTAATTATTTAATTCAACTGTTTAATTTCATTGTTTGTTTAATTCAATTATTTAATTAAATCAAATATTGTTTTATTTAATTGTTTAATTTTAAATTAATTATTTAATTTTAATTAATTTTAATTTAATTATTTAATTTAATTTAATTGTTCAATGATTCAATTCGATTCAATTCAAATTCAACTCTGTTCAAATTCAAATCAAAAATTCAAATTCAAAAATTCAAAAACTCAATTCCAATTTAATTCCAATTTAATTATTCAATTTCAATTTAATCATTCAATCCAATTCAACTATTCAACTGACCCCAAACCCCAACCCCAAACCCCAAACCCTAAACCCTAAACCCTAAACCCTAAACCCTGACTGATGGTGGCGAAGGAAATGGAGAAAGAAGGCGCCGCGGGCTTCGGAAACCCCTTGGGAATCTTCCCCACAACTCGAACTCCCGCAGAGTTTTCCAAGTCCAACAAAAAAGACAAAAAAGTAAAAATGATTACCACCAAAAGCGGGCCTGGCAGCGGAATCCGCCGGCAGTACCTGCGGTGTACGTACACCCCAACATCCCCTGCTGTACGTACACCCCAACAGCAACCCGCCACAATGCGCTGTCCGTACACCCCAACCCGCAACTGCTCGCTAGCTAGCTGGCTAGCTAGCTAGAAAGCTGCCTACCTAGCTAGCTAGCTAGCCAGCTAGCTACCTAACTAGCCAGCTACCCAGCTAGCCAGCTAGCCACCTAACTAGCTATTCAGCTAGCTAGCTAGCTAGCCAGCCAGCCAGCTAGCTAGCTAGCCAGCCAGCCAGCTAGCTAGCTAGCTAGTCATCTAGCCAGCTGCCTCAGAAACTAGCTCGTCTGGTAGCTGTCCAAAACGCTGGCTCGCTACGCAGCTAGCCAGCTAGCCAGCTAACTACCTGGCTAAATGGCTAGCCAGCTAGCTAGCTAGCCAGCTATCTAGCCAGCTAGCTAGCTAGCTAGCTAGCTAGCTAGCTAGCTGGCTTGGTGTTGCTGACTTTCGATTGAGGAACTTGCAAATGGCGAGAATGAAAATTGCGGAGACGCAAATGCCGACAGAGACCCAATTGGCTTCGCCGATGTGGCGGATGCAGTACCACCACTGTCTGTACACCCCAGCAGCAGCAGCAGCAGCAGCAGCAGCAGCAGCAGCAGCAGCAGCAGCAGCAGCAGCGGCAGCAGCACCATAATTGCCCTCCCACCACAGCAGCATGACAGCCCCACCACCCCCGCCCCCACCTTGCGCAGCACCCCAGCAGCGCCCGCAGCAGCAGCAGCAGCAGCAGCAGCAGCAGCAGCAGCAGCAGCAGCAGCAGGACTGGCCTGAGGAGTTTGAAGTCCGCGTCTTCGAGCTCCGGGGGAAAGCGGAGGCCGAGGGCGTGCTGCAGCTGGCTGCTGCCAATGAGAAAAGCACTTGCTGTTGAAAATCCCGAAAGAACAGGAACAGCCAAAAGATCTGCCAGCAGTCCTGCATGCAGCAGCCGCAGCAGCAAAAACAGCAGCCCCAGCCCAGCAGCAAGTGCTGCTGCCACCTGCACGCGGCTCTGCTGCAGCAGCAGCTCGTCGAGCTCCGCCGCCTCCAGCAGCGCCGCCGCGGGGCGCCCTCCCGCCGCCGCCGCTGCTGCTGCTGCTGCTGCAGGCGCAGCAGCAGCAGCAGCGTCTGCTGCTGCTGCTGCAGGCGCAGCAGCAGCAGCAGCAGCGTCTGCTGCCAGCAGCCGCAGCCGCGCTGCAGCAGCCAGCCGCTCGCGCTCGCCCAGCACGCGGCTCACCGCCTCTCCCAGCAGCAAATCTTCTATTGCAGAAACTCCAACTGCAGCATGACGAGAAGTTCCGAACAGCAAATAAACCAAAGGGTAAATTAAATTGGCGTAAAGGCCAAACTCCGCGGGCAGCCGCGCCAGCAGCGCGTAAGACATCCCCTGCGGGATCGCCATCACCCCTGCAGCAGCAGCAGCAGCAGCAGCAGCAGCAGCAGCAGCAGCAGCAGCGGCAGCAGCGGCGGCGGAGGCGGAGGGGAACGCGGAGGGTTAGGGGTTCGGGCTCGGGGGAGGTGGGAGGGTCGTGGGCGGGGAACGGAGGGGCGGCTGCAGCGGGGAAGCGCTAGGGTTTAGGGTTTAGGGTTTAGGGTTTGGGGTTTGGGGTTTGGGGTTTGGGGTGTGGGCACCTTCGGAAATGCCGGCGAAGATGTCCGGCAAAAGGTATTCCCATTTGTAAGTCCGCAGCACTTCTTGCAAAGGAAAAAAAGAAAGAAAAAACTTGGCGGGGGAGCAGCTGCGGGATCTGCTGCAGAGCCGCTGCAGCAGCTTGCCGCGCTCCGACGGAGTGGAAAAGTCCTGGAAAGCAGCGCAAAATGCAGCAACTTGGACCCAATTTTCGCGAATTTTCCTTTTATTTTCTTTAATTCAATTAAATAAATCCAATTGGAACAAAATTAGCCACAGATCGCTACAAGTTCTGCACCAGTTCTCCGCGAAACTTGAATTCACGACCCCGCCGTTCAAGTTCGAGAGTCTTCTCCCGCCAAACGAAACGAAACAAATAATAAATAAATAATAAATGAATAAATAAATAAATAAATAAATAAATGAATTTAATTAATTGAAAAGAAACGAAAATCCAAATCAAACGCACTCGGTGGATGTCGTCTTCCGTCAGAGTCTTGCGCTGGGGAGCCCCGGCCAGACTGCTGCCTTTGGGGGTATCCCCGAGGTGGCATCTGCGGAAAAGCGGGAAAACGAATTCAAATTGAAATATAATTCGAATTTAATGATTCAATTTCATTATTTTGTTGTTTTTAATTCGAATTTAATAATTCAATTCATTATTTTGTTGTTTTTAAATTCAAAAACGAAGAAATTCGACGGCTGGAGCGGCCGCTGGGTGGAAAGTTGAATATTTTCGCCGCTGGCCTCAGCTGTCTGTACACCCCGGCGCGCGCATGCATGCGCTTTCCGCCATTTTGCATTTCATTTATTTAAAATGCAATTAAAGACTCACTCTACCGAAATGGTGACGCTTTCAGAGTCTTTGCCGCCCTTTTGCTGCTTCGAATCTGCTGCTGCTGCTGCTGCTGCTGCTGCTGCTGCTGCTGCGTGCGGCTGCTGCAGCTGCAGCTGCAACTCGCCCGCAGGCACTTCCCGCTGCTGCAGCTTCCTGCTGGGCAGCAGCCGCAGGCGGCGCAGCCAGGCGAAGCTGCTGCGGGGCTGCGTCTCTTTGCCTTGCTGCTGCTGCTGCTGCTGCTGCTGCTGCTGCTGCTGCTGCTGCAGCGCAGCAGCAGCAGCAGCAGCGGAGCTGCCCCCGTCTGCCATGGTGTGCTGGGATATCGGGCAAAGAAGGCCAAAAGGAAAAGATGGGGCTGGGCTATAAACTTGCAAAAGGAAGCTACAGAAGAGCTGCTGCTGCTGCAGCGCAGCAAATTGGAAAGTTTGAATTCGATGGAGACAGAAAGAGCTGCAGCAAGAAGAGCCCCAGCCTCTGCTCGTGTCTTGGGAGCAGCAAAAGCAAAAATGGATTTAAAATAAAAAAAAAGAAGACAAAGAAGAAGCAGCAGAAGGTGAACTCCAGCTGCTGCAGCCACTGCTGCTACACTGCGCAGCGCCGCGCCGCGCCGCCGCCCCGCTACAGCCAAAATGCCCCTTCAGCACTTAAAAACGACAGAATTGAATTTAATAAATTGAAATAATGAAATAAAAAACAAAAAGAAAAAGAGGAAACGGCGAAAAGCCAAAGGAGGGGAGCAGCAGCGGCGGCGGCGCCCGGGGAGGTCCACTGTCTGCGCGCGCCGAGACGGCCAGCTGGAAACGCCGCTGCAACTGCGTTCAAACGAAACAAAAGAAGTATTTAATTGAAATTAAATATTTAAAACCAAAAGAAAGAAAAGACAAAGGGGAGTTCGCCGCTGCTGCCGCTTGCTGGACTCGAGCGCCCTGCTGCCGTCGGCGGCTGCTCGCATGCTGCGGCCGCGCCGTCTCGCGCGATCCGCCCCTTCGGAAGCCCCAAAACCCTTTTTTAAACCGCCAAAATGCATTTATTTGCAAATTGCAATTCAAAAAAGTCCCTTTTGAGGGAATTCGGCCGCGGGAACCGCCGCAACTCCTCCGCAGCTCGCCGCATGCAGCAGAACTGGCACACCAGACAGCGGAACCAGCCCGAGCCAGCCCGCCGCGCTGCGGAAAGCTGCGGAGAAGAAGCTCAAATGCAATTCAAGTTCAATTTAAATTCAATTTAAATTCAATTAAAGTTCAATTCAAATTGATTTGAGCAAAAAGAAATGAAATCAACTCAATATCTGGTCGAGACGCGCGGCAGCAGCGCGCACGCCGCGAGCAGCTGCTGCTCGCGCTCTTGCAATTAATTGCAATCAATTCAAAACTCTTCAAATGCAATTTATTTTGAAATTAATTATTCAACTTCTCAATTGGGAATTGTTTTTCAGCTAAGGGGCGGGCAGTGAGGGCTGGAGAGGAAGCTTTCCTCGCTTTCGCATTTCCGGAGTCCAAGTTGAATTTTTCGCGTTTTCACTTTTATTTTCTGCACAACTTCGCTCTTTTTCGCCGCACAGCACGCGAAAAGGCCTTTAAAGAACATATGAAAAGATAAAAAGAATGAAATAACATTCAAAAGGTTCAAAATAGTTCAACTTGAATTCAGAAACTTGAATATTGAACTGCCCTTCCGCCCGGCAGAAACCTGTTGCAGCATTCTGAACAAGTCTGCGCTGCTGTTTCCTCGAGTCTAAATGCGGTTTCATCGCACCAACTGAACTCAATTTGTTTTATTTGAATTCAATTTGCATTATTTGAATATTTGGAGATAATTAAACGCAGAAAAAGATGAATTGCTCGTTCGAAGACGCGCGAAAAGGCTGGAAACGCATGCGCTGGGGCTGCCCGTGTGCATGCAGGCGCTCGAAAAACTCCATTTTTTTCTCTTTTTTCCCACTAAAATGGTTTTCAATTTCACAAAAACTTTTTTAATTTAATTTAAAATAATTTGCTTTTTGAAAAGAGGCAAAAACGGCCCTCTGGAGCCCCGCGAGCGCAGCAGCGGACAGAAAGCTGCAGTGACACTGCAGCGAAGCAGCAGCGGCGGCCGATAAAGGAGAATTCTTTGGAATTAAAAGGCATTTTGGAGTCAATTAAAAGCATTTAATTGAAACATTGTTTTTAAAATGCGCAAATAAACAAATATTCACTTTTGAAATGCGGAAATGAACAAATATTCAACTTGAAATCGGCAAATGAACAAGTATTCAAGACCACCTGGTGCAGCAAACTAAACTGCTGCTTCAATTTGCCATTTTGCTTTTTTTTAAATTTACAAAAAGAAGAAAATGTTTGGAGGAAAATCCAAGTTGGCCGCTGCAGCGCCAGCCAATGCAAAACCAGTTCAGCAGCAGCAGCAGCAGCAGCAGCAGCTGC